AATTTATTATTTTAAAACATTATATATATATATATATACTAATACATATAATATAATAATTAATGAAATTTATAATTTAAGATATATGATATCATAAATATAATATAATAATTAATAATAAAATAATAATATAATAATTAATAATAAAAAATTAATAATAATTTATATAATGTACATAAAATAATTTTCAATTCAAAGCAATTAAAGAATGTAATTAAAAATTATAGCAATTAAAGAATTAGTCAATGTATTTAATTTAGTATATATTTTACCTTAAACATAAGATATTCTCCTGTATAGCAAAGAATAAATGCTTCGCAATTTGCAGCAATATAATAAAGGAAACATTTTGTGAATATTGTAAATCCTTTTTCAGTACTTAAAGCCTGAAGTGATAAATGATAGTACAGAATATATATATATATAAGAATGAAAATTGTAAAATATCTAATAAAAAAATCTTATATAAATCGTCGATTTTGATATAATAATAAAAAACATGTTTTTTTAAATTCCAATTATTTTTTATCATATTCAAATAATTTTCTGCATATATTAGATAAGAAAAGTTTAAAAAATTAACACGATTTATATTATTAATAAATATTCAATCATTGCAATTATTCAATCGCATCTATTGTTAATAATAGAAAATAAAAAAAATTAATAAGTTAAAGGAGTAAATATGATGCTAAGCAAAAAAATTATTCAAGACAGTTATATATTTCTTTTAAATTTCAATGCTATAAATGTTTTTTTTTATGTAACTACATAAAAATAACTATAAGAATTATATAATAATAACTATAAGAACAAAAGAAATTATATATTTGTATAGTAAATTTTTTGTTTTTTTCTGCATGCTTTTTTCTTTTAATACTTGTTTGTTGTTTAAATTTAAATATGGAAATAGGGCAAAGTATTATTTTAATATTTTTAAGTTTATTTTGTTATTACATGATTATGTGTGATTTATTTTTTAATTTATTTTCTTATAATATATTATTTTCATCAATAATAGCTGAATTTAAAAGTATAATAATGTAAATATTATTTATAAATTTGAATACAATAGAGACTCCCATATCCGAACTAATAGGAAGATAAAAGTAGTCGGATAGTGGAATTTTCAGATAATAGAATAATTACTTTCTTTTGCATTAAATTTCATTTATTCAAATAGAAATGAACAAAATTGACAGTTTCTTTCAACATCTAAGAGTCTCATATCTTTTTAGTCATTAAGTCACATAAATTTTTTATTGTAAATAACTGCATAGAATTACATTCTCGTTGCGCCTCAAATCATTGAATTATCTACCATGTATTCTTGTTAATTTTGTTGTATTATCATGCTTTTAATATCTTTAATTATTTTATATTTTTCTTCAATAGTTAAAACTATACATTTTCGTTTACTTATCATTGCAATTCTGTTTTTTGCTTCAGATTTAATTGATATGATTATGTTTAACTGGCCGAATACAAGAAAGTATTTATTACATTTAAATACGTTGTATGTATTAATGTAATTTAAGTATATTATATGTAAAAATCGCTATGAAACATTGTATGGATAATAAAATGTTTGTATATTAGGATATTCAGATAATGCGGATACAGATATGGAAGTGTCTACTCTATAAAAAATTTAGATATATTTGGAAATAAATGAAATAAAATATTTTTTAACTGATCAATCATTTTAATATTAAATCATGTTTTTACATTTCAATGATATTAAAAAATATTAAAGTATTAAAATTGAAAAATTTCTTCAAATGTTAGATTGATCATAGTGCAAATATTCGATAATTCTGTATATTCGCTTTCTCTATAGAAATTTTTTTATAGAATGTAATTAAAGAAAATTCATCATGATTTTTTAACAAATGAATTCTTTTTAAATTATTTAATTTATAGATTATTTAAAAATAATTAATTGGCAAATATAAATTATTCTAAATTTAAATATTCTGAAATATTTATTTAATTTTTAAATATATGTTTATACTTCTTTGTGACTTCTGTGGATTTTAATACAAAATCCAATATACATATATATATAAATATTTTTTAGAAATACATTAAATATAAACGATTTACATTTATGATAATCCTAAATAGAAGAAATGTAACAAGAAATATAAATTAAATTGATTCACATTTACAAGAATAAATCCTAGAAAGTATATCATTAAAATATTTGATAAAAATTGTATCAATGATGTATATAGAAATAAATATTTTCAGATAAATGAAGAATTCTTTGATGCTTGACAATAATATTTTTTAATATATATAATATTTCTCCTTTATAGCTTAAAATAGCTTGAATAATAAGTTCTTGACATGTGATATTTATTTGACTACCTATATGTAATACCTATATATAATAATTAAAAAAAGATAACTAATATTTTTACGTTATTTTATACAATCATTTTATATCTCTATATTTGAATAAAGAGAATTTTAAAATGATAATTATTATAACTATCATAAAATGTAATTATATAATAATAATAATATTAATATAATATAATTATCAAAATTATAAAAAAAGATAAAAAATAGAAATTAAATATAAAAATTATAATCAAATTCAGAACATTTAAAGAAATCTAAAATAAATAGACAAGAAGAATATTACATAAATATAAATAGATAAGATAAATATTACAAGAAAATTGTGAAAAATATATGCAATCAACTTATTTCATATCAAATTAATTTAATTAAATATTAAATTAATTTAATAAAATATTAAATTAAATTAATTTAACTTTTTATTTCATATAATAATATGAATAATAAAATAAAATTTAATACAATTATAT